TCCATTTCGGGCACCACCGAACGGTACATCATGGATTCAACGTCAAAGATGTTGTGCTTCTCCATTAGATCCTTAATCGATTCAAGTGGTATTTTCAACATATACGACAGAGTCTTCTCGTTGCCAGCTATGGAGAATTGTACATATTAGATATGCATACATAAATATGAGCGTATGCATGTTTTATGAGTCAAGTGGCTACGTGGTGGCTGAATCATCGAATCGAACCTACATTGCGTGTTGATCTCCATTTCGATTCGCAGCATGATGGTGGCATAGTTCTCACCCGGGGCCACGGCGGGCTTTGTTTTGAAGCTTTTGATGTCTCTAAATTCCGGCACTGTTTCCTTTAGGAAGTTGCTGAACAGTTCTGCTTTTATCCAGTCTGGCAATTGGGGACCATTTCCAATTAGAACGCTATCCGACGATCCGTTTGCATCTTGATGCGACATTTTTTCCTTTGAACAATTAGTGAACGCACTGTTGGCCCCTTGGAAACCAATAACTAACTAACCATAAGCTGCTGACTGAAGTTGAATAATGATTAGCATTGAACTTGAATGCCGATATTCAAAAGCTGGCGAAAGTAAATGGGAGACAAGATAGATAATGAGCTTTTTCAACGTACATACATATCTACATTCATACATACATATGTAAGTTTATACAATGTAGCTGCGTTGATGATCTTTTATGCGGGGCTTCTGCCAAATTTTTGAAATTGGCTTTCGTTATCAGTAATCACGGTATTACACTGAATTGTATACTCTTGTGCGCAGAGCAGTGCATTTTTCTGTGTGTTTAAATATATATATGTACGTAAAAGCTTGCCTGCCCAATGTGACTCGTTTCGACTACCATTGAATGCTCTCGCCATGGTTCAATTTATACAAAAAAGCAATATGCAAACACAAACGGTTTTGATAAATTGACCGAATTGCTTCAAGCTCGCAGAGAAGAGATTAAGGTAGCACAAGTCCTGTGCAGGTGAGCCATATTTTGGAGTTTGATAATCCACAAAATATGTTTCTTTGATCTTGCCAAATGCATCGTATTGAAACGTGCCATTGTTGGGCCAGAAGATGGTTCTGAACATTAAATTCTTTCGAATCGACTTTCCCAACGTTAAAGGAACTATCGTGGTAATGTACACAGTATTTCTCCATGAAACGAAACAGATATGTACGTACGTTTTATGTTTTCATTAAATTTTCGTAAAGAGCTGTTGCCATTTGACATTTAGCATTTCAAACTGACAATATTCAGCCTCATTGCGAGAGTCGTGCCGAATGCAAGTCGTTTTTCGAGAGTCGAATCGTATCGAAAATTTAGCGCCATTGCCTAAAATTTCCACTCGACTAGTGTATTAAAACGGAAAAACTTGGCAGCACTGCATAGTTTTCGACAATTTTCGTCGTTTACTTATTTCAGCACGACAGTAGACAATGCTAATGTTGTCGAGTCGTACAATTCAGCCTAATTTACGACTTACGCAAAGAGGCTGATTATTTAACACTGTTCACGCTTTCGTGCAAAACAAATGGCAAACAGTAAACTCTAGTATAGTAATTAAAAAGCAAATTCGCGTCAGTTTAGGACATCAGCCACAAGCATACACACATGTAATTCTATTAATTTTTTACCAATACAAAAAATTTATTCTTCATTCGAGTTTTTAAATAAAATATTGCACCTTTGCATCCAAACTACAAAAAAGTATCATATTTTTGGCATCTTGTATAGTTATAGTAAGAACTTTTTATGAGACCTGTGTAAGATAATGAAGGTAATTCTTCTCTATAAGCCAAGGTAAAATCTCCTTCATTTGCGACACATAAAGTGGATTGTAAAACATTCGCTTCTTAAACGCTCTTCCCTCTTCGTTATCACTCATAAAAGTTTCTATATTAGAATTTTCTTGAGAATCCAGTAAGGCCACAGCGAGTATGCGTTGTGCACAAACAAATGCTGCAAAGAAGGAAACAAGTATCTAGTTAAAGTGATCTCCTAGTAATAAGTTGTCAAAAGCTTAAGCTAATTTAAAGCAAACACCAACGAAATATACAGCTAATAGCTTATTTAGGTCTCACCCCATAATCCATGTTTTTCCAGTTGTGCTCGTAAGTCATCCAAAGTTGGTACTGGTTTCTCATATCGCAACATTTGAAAATTTTCAATTAGCTTCAGGTGATAGTATTCAACAAAAGATTCGAAGTTCTTCAGCTTTATAGACCAATTTGGTGAGGTCATTAGAAAGCAAAACAAGTCCATTGCAAAAGTTCCGTACTTGGGCAGCTGAAAGTCAATGAAGAGCACTTCCTTAACCGTGGTACGGTCTTCGCCGTCGTGTTGGAACATAACATTGTTTATCCAAAAATCACCGTGGTTCAGAACATTGAAGGCTTGTGTGTCGACACTGCCGAATTTTACATACAACTCGTTCATATTTCGCATAAAAGTTAACTGTGGAAGAAGAACAAGCAAAATTTCATATATGCCGGCCCTTCTTACTTCGTTAGTATTTAGGTATCGTTACTTAGAAAATTATAAATTTTGTGATAACTAAAATTCGATTAAATTGGGTAGAAACTTTGAAAATTAAGTTTGCTTGTGTTTGCTAGAATATGATTAGATATCTAACCTTTCTCTCCATATTGAGAACTAACTCCTCTTTTTGTAGAAAACGTTATAATTCTTGACAGTTTATCTAATCGTCTTATAACCTTCTACCTTAGTGAAAAAGGCTTTTACTACTTCGTCGGACATTATAAAAATGCTTCAGATTCGAAGAAAAATGAAGCTGACGCATGTTACAAGCTTTAAAACTTTAAAGTACAATAACGTTAAAAGTAATATTTTATTTTTAATATTTTTATTGAGCTTTGTACCACGATTGTTTATTAGGAAAAATTGAAAAAGCAACAAAGTCTAAGCGGTAGAAGTTATAGCACTATTTCGGAGATCACCAAATTCTGTTTTCCTAATAAACAATCGTGGTACAAAGCTCAATAAAAATATTAAAAATAAAATGTTAACAAGCCACAATAACATTGACAAATACATAGTTAAAAGTAATACTTGACGATTAAAACTTAACAGAGAATATTTGAATTTGCGAGCATTTTGTCACATTTACATACTCATTCAGCACTAACCTAATAAACTTAACCAAAATTAACACAGTTTTTACCTTTGGCCTGACCAGCCTTTGTAAACTATGTACAGTAAAACCCGCTTAAGTACCTCACAAAAATGTCAGCTATTTGAGGTACTTAGACGGGTTGGGTACTTAAAAGAACCCGCTTAAGTACATCGATTCGGGTACTTACGCAAACATAACTATTGATGCAGTTAATCTTCTTGTTAACTTACATAAATAACTTTTTGAATAAAACATGAACATTTAATGCAGTGTACACAGTTCAAAAGATCGTAGCATTATTTAAACACATAAATACATAAACAAAAACTTTATAAGAAAATCGATTAGGCAATGCTATGTAATTTTTACATTCAATGCTTTAAACTCAGTGATTATACATATTTATACATACATACAGTGTTGGACATATCTATCATTTTGGACCAAACTCAAAATGACGTTGTTTGCCACTTATGTTTATTTATTAATTTTCAAGATTTTTCAGTAAAAACACAGTTCATTCCCGAACAAATACCATATAAACCTAAGTTAAAATTTTTTAGAACACTGGAAAAAAAATATTAATCAAAATATCAAACTTTTTTCTCAGATTTCTCCCGTTTCTTACCGTTGATTTTTTAGAATATTTTTTTGCCGAACGTGTTGCGGTAGCACTTAAAGGGCGAAAGTTATAAGAAAAATGGTAAATGGGTGCCCAAAAATGTTGGTTACTTAAGCGGGTTAGGCACTTAAGCGGGTTTCACTGTACCTACATAAAATACTTTGGAAGATACTCACTATAAGCTCCTTCTCTGTGGGAATCAAGTCGTAGGCATCCATGCATTGCGCGAATGGCTCGTTAAACGCTGCATTCATTTTCACGATAAAGGGCAAACTCTGCTCTGAGAAGTAACTCTTGATATATCCCTCCGGGTAGGCGCCCTTAATTTCAATTCTCTTAACCGAGGCCGCATGCCACTGGGCTAGCTTGTCAAGTACTGCCTTTGTATGTGCGTCGTCGAGCCCCTCCCGACGCGGTGCCATTTCAAATCCCCTCGCCTGCAGATCTTCCATCAAAATGTAGTTGCAACTCATTTCATGCGCAAATCGATATTTGTTTGGTTTGAATTGCAACGACACCCCAACGCTGGCATACATTTGCTCCAACTCCGGCACGATGTTGTCGTACATATTTGCTTCGGTGACGAAAAGTTCGTGATAGCCATCGTCGTCAGTTTGCTTTTTCTCTTTACTCTCCTTCAGCTGCAATGGAATCTTCAGCATGAATTTAACTTGCTCACGACTTGCATCTGAAAGGCAAAACAAAAAAACAAAGGCAAACAAAGCAAAGGGCAAAACATGAACAAAAGGTGAACAGCTTTCGCTTCTCAATACCGTTTCATGACTCACCTTTCAACTTAATATCAGCACTGATTCTTATTATTGTTGTTATATAGTTTTCACCATCAGCCAAGGCTCGCGAGGCCGAAAAGCTTAACAGTTCGTCAAAGTTGTCGAAATTTGCATGCAAGAAAGACTTGAATTGGTCGTATGTAACCAAAGCGTTAGTGTTTTTGTTTTTGTTTTCATTTGACGTCATTTCACCGCACACTCACACACTGCTACTCCGAACGCTCAAGCAATACTGGTTGATTCGAATGGAAGAACAAATGCATTCAAGTAAGAAGAGTAGGAGGCTTTAGAACGATGCTCTTAGAACCTCCAACTATCTTGTACATAAACAAAGAGAAACAATGGGAGCAGTTGCACGAGCATTTCCACAATAGTTGCGTTTTTTTACTCATTTCCAGTAAAATCCAGTAAAAGTTTTTACGAATCTTCATGTTTTGGCGTTTTCGTACGCAAAAACGTGCAAAGTAGGGGAAATTGAGAGAGCGAAAAATGACAGCTGAAGTTGCAAGTTTTAACTGGATTTTACTGGATAAATTTTTACTTGTAAGAATTTGCCAGTACGAAAAACAGCTGAACGCATGTTGCTGGATGAAATTTAAACTAATAAGGAAACTGTTTGTGGATTTTTATTGTGGAAATTTTCAAAACAAACATATTTAAATATAAAATATATCGTTTTATTGGGAATATGCTGCGAATAAACAACCAATTTATCAGCTGTTCATGAAACTTGCAAATTATTACTGGAAAAGCGTTCGCGTACTTTTTTGCAAATTTTTTCTATGAGAGCGAATTCTTAGAAATAAAGTTACTGGAGAGTTACTGGCAAGTTACTGGATAATTTGTAAAAAAACACAACTAATGTCACTGAGTTGCGCCGACCACCTGACGCCGAATTTAAAATTTTTGTTTACCGTTATTATAGCGCCTCTTATCAGCGTTGCACAGTGTACTTTTTTAGGGGTTTGAGTGCTCAAAGTTAGAGATTACTTTTGAACGGGTTTAAATGTTTTTTTTGTGTTATTAAGTAGAAAATTGTGATCGTTAGCGATAACATAAAATTTAAATAGACTCCAATCTTGCCTTGTAAAGTTTCCCAATGCAAAATTTCATGTGGCTATCGTTAACTTAAAGAAAATTATTGATAAAATTGAAATTTTTATTTTTTTCTTTATGTTACTAGTTCAAATCAGCGACAAATTGACTAGAAATCATATTTATTAATATTAAATTTGGTAAAAAATTGAAAATTTTTCCATATCTTTTTTTGCCCAGCTTGACACTTTTGCAACTATGTATATGTAAGTGACAAATGGGAAAGGGAAAAATGGTTTAAAAATATTTATACCAAAAGATCTTCAAAATTGTATCCACAATTCGCTGGCAGGATCGCGTGACACTTGCTTCATTCGGCATTGCAGCTAGGTTGTTGGAAGGCGGGCGAACGGCTCATTCAGCACTAAAATTACCAATTCACTGAAAACCTGATATGCAACATCTCGAAGACTTGTTCGATGGCCAAAGTTCTGCAGCAATGTAAGTTGAAAAGTCTTTGAAGGTATTAGACCGAACGATGCGAGATCTACGAAATAATCAGAAGATGCTTGGTGGCGCGATGATTCTGTTGGAGGTGAGTTTCGCCAAATCGGTTAACGCCAGCCACTGAACTCAATGCATGTTTGATGCCCGTTTTGTGGAGATATGTACATACTTTAAAATTAAGTATAAACATACATACGTGTCGACCTGCAGAACGACCAATTTGGAAAGGTATTTTCAAACCAATTACTGGACATTTGCAATGGTAGAATATCCGTTCATATTTCAACTCGGTGCATTACATTGCCCTCTGGTTTTTGTTAGTTCACCAAAATCAAAGACGTAACTCATAAGAAAAGGTTTCCCAAACATTGCGGAAAATTACAAAAATCATGATTGGTTAAGCGAACGGGCTACATATATTAGCTCCGAAAAACATCAATGTCAATCAGTTGAATTTGAAGATTCAAAGCAACCATTCACGTCTTTGTAATGGAATCCAGATGGCGGTGAAGAAATTGATGAGCAACGTCATCGAAACAACGATTATAAAAGGAAAGTATAAAGGAGAAAACGCTTCGAATGATTCCCGTTCGACTTATGCGATGACTATAAAAAAGTCACAACGACAGTCATTGAGTGTTTGCGGTATTGTATGTCGCCTGTTCCCGTGTCGGGAAAACCACTAGCTTGGGATACTTACGCACCCGATAATGAAACAAAAAATATTGGACCGTGTGAATAAGTTAAGCAATGGCTTTTGCTAAAATTTGAGACATTTTACTTAAATCGAATATATCGAGTAAAAGGTCTGAAATTTTAAGAAAAGCAATTGCTTAGTTTTTATTCATGCGGCAGCATTGTAATGAACTAAATAGACTAAAAGCCTGATTATGAAAACTTAACTTAACCTAACGGAACATAGAACTTAAAAAATCAAAATTAAACAGATTTCGACGTTGCATTAAGTTACGTTAAGTTTCGGCTGTTGAATTATAAGAAACATTCATTTATGAGAATGTGTGAAGTGAGAGCCGATAAGTTACGTTAAGTTGCCATAATCAGACCATAATTCTAGCTGGTTTAAACTAAGATTATCCAATCAAATGTCAACCAGCTGTTAAATATGAGCGCACTTTACATAATCTGTGTTTAAATTGGCACTGGAAAACTGGCCTTAAGTGGTTAAACCACTGCCTTTGTGCGCCTGAGTGTCCCGATTCCAATCCATGTGAACTTAAAAATAGGAATTCTTATGAGGAGATGTGGTGATCTCCGAAATAGCGACTATAACTTCTACCATGGCCTCAAGCTCCACACAATTATTGAATAAAACAGCTATCAGGCTACAAATAAAAAAGTAAATGTTTAATTTTACTGCTGGAAATAGTAATAGAAAGAGTTTTATTGAATTAATTAATATTTATCTCATTTAAGTTTCATTAGAAAAAAGTGTATATCCTCCTTGCGTGTTAAAATACTTCGCCCTCAGGTATGAAATTCAATAATCCGCGAGTCTCTAGCCATGGAAGCAGTTGTGTCATGTGGTCAATGTAGCGCTGACTACGGTACATCTTCCTTCGCATGTCCGCATTCTTGTCATCCAGCCAAACATCTACGTTGATGTCCTCGCTTTGGTCTGATAGTATGATAGGCAACAAATCGCTGACAATACTATAAGCTGAAGTAAAAGTAAATTCATTAAATCTTTGTCAATAATTCCACGGGACCTTCTTTCAGTAAAATTGTTCTTTATGTTTGCCGGTACCGGTACCGGTACGTGACACCCGCATGGATCGAGTTCAAAATAAAGTCAAATTTCGTTTTTCAACTGGTATCACTTTTTTACCGCCGATTTTGAAAAAAAAACGGAACCCGGGTAAAAAATTGTACCTCTTAAAAACGGAATTTAGTATTCATTTGACCTTGATGTAGACGTGCTAGGGTCACGTTGGCACCGGGATCGTGGTCAGCGATTCGGAAGGTACAGCTATCAACTAGACTGAGAGAAGGTTCTATTTTATTGATTAACTTATAATTTTTCCGAGTCTAATGGAATAAAATATTCCCTAATCTGATATAAAATTTAGAATTCTTACGAAATAACGGCGGAACTTATATTTTATATGAGAAGTGACCAGATAATTATTAAAACACAACCGTTAATTGCACTCCAGTAGGGACTACACATTTTCAAAAACAAAGCGAGCGAACAATTTAAATGATTTACTTAAGCCAAGTATAAATACTATTTCAACGTCGATACTTCCGCAAATTTTGGTCGTCAAGACTACCTATTTAATATTAAATAACAAAACACAGTATCTACCCCAATTTCCGTGCCTGTAGAGGGCTACGTGGATATCCCTGAGTGTCGGTATTTTCTTCCCATATTTCAGCAATTTCAAGCACTTCACCAGTTCCCCATGGTAGAATGAAACGAAATATTCGAAAAGACTAACTTTAACATCCAAATTAGTTGATGATAGCAGAAGATAATACAAGTCCACGGCAGGTGAACCATATAAATTCAGCTGGTAGTCGAGAAGATATGTATCTTTTATCGCTGCGCTGTCATCGTATCGAAACATAACATTGTTTGACCACAAATCGCCATGATTTAGCACGTAAAACTCGTGGGGTTGTTGTGGGACTGCTTCCTGATTGGGATCGCAGGCCAATTCACAAAAGCTGTGCTGAAAGATATTTGAATGAAAAATTAAAACTTGCTGGGTTGAACTGTCGCGCTGAGCTCACCAACTTCTCATCCAGATGACACACATCCCCATAGAGTGGCAAACATTCGCGCAACAGCTTAGTGCGGGTGGCTCGCGCTGGGTAGGACTCGTCCACTTCGCAGCAGTAACATTTGTCGTACAACTGCGGGTAAGGCCCGTGGAGATCATAGTAGACGGCAGAAGCGGCATGCAGTTGCGCCACTTTCCGCAAGGTCGCTTCGGTGTGCGCCTTGTCCATGCCCTCTTGTCGTTTGATGTTTGTGAAGCCAATCGGACGCAAATCCTCCATAACCAGAATCTCGCCTTCGTGTTCGACCGGCACGGGTAGCTGGAACACTTTAGGGCCGAATTTTACGTCCAAGCCGCAATTCCTGTACATCTCTTCGAAGGCTGGCAAATATGTATTGTAAGTGCAGCTCTCCTTATCAAAGATTTGCCAGTATTGTACCAAGTTGCGTATAAATTGGTTGGTGGGTAGTGTCTTAACCATGTAGGAAACTGCGGTTTTTGTGGCGTCTGGGCCATTGACCGATTCACGAGCGTACGAAAATAAAGCAGAAACAAAATAAAAATAAACAAAAGCTTAATTCTGAATATTTCTTCAAACTGTGTTGTTCTTTAAATGCCTGCATATGTACGAACCCACTCGCACAAATGTAAGTACATGCATACACACATTGTACATTAGACTGGGTCGCGAAAAAAAATTAGTTTGAAAGCTTACATATGCGCACGAAGTGGCTTCAACTGGCAGTCTTCAGCTGCTTGATACGCTTGCTTACGTGTTGAGCCAAATGAGATGTCGCTCTTGAAGACCGCTAAAAGTAGAAAGTATTTACGGTACGCGATATGTCGCCTTTCAGTGTCATTTTTGCAGTTTGACCGCCATTTTCTTAAAAATACCACAAATTTAGAAAGAGTGCGCGACTATTTAAAATTAAAGAAAAAAAATGGATTCGTGAATTCCAGATATTTTAAAATTAATAAATTTATACCGGCAAAGTAAGGACACGAAAGTTCTTGATTAACAATATTTCCAATGAAAAGGGTATGCTTTTCCCCCTTCGACCAAAAACTTTCATTATCTTAATCTTCACTCGGCTAAATTACAACCTTTTTTCTTTCGTATGGAGTCCAACCAGGTCTAATGTACACGTACATATATCATATAGGCATATCTCATCTGTACATACATACATACCTTGCATTACCACATCCAGATGTATGCGCTGCAACAACGTCATGAAATTCTCACCGCTTTTCACGCCGGGCCGCACCGCAAATTTAGCAATCGATTTGTACTCCGGAAACTTGTCTTTCAACAAGTCTTCAAATAACTCGCCTGCCAACCATTCGGGTGTGACATCAGCAGTAGCTCTGCTCTGTGGGTCATCCCCGTTCACATCGGTAGGCTGATTGTGCGGTTCCTTTTCCATTGGGCGATTGGATTATTTAGATTTTGGGCGATCTGCACAACTTGAGGTCTGAATTGAAACTGCGCCTGAGTTTTTGAAAACCATTTAAAAGACTTGACCGCCGCTGACAGCTTTGGATGCAGTAGTGGCAGGGCTTCCAATTCGCGAACGCTACACACATGTATGTACATTAGAGTGGTCCAAAAAAAAAAGTTTAAAATGTTAAGCTCTCACCCCCTAGAATGTTGCTAATTGGAAAAAAAGAATACCCGTATTTTTCTGTTAAAAAAATGATATTTAGAACTGTCATTAGAAAAATCCTAGGGGGTTAGAGCTTAACGTTTTAAACTTTTTTGCTCCGCCTGAATTCTTGGATCACCCTAATGTACATACAAGCACATACATATAAATTCATATGCACATGCACATTAAGGTGCGCATGTATGTATGCATTTCATAATATATTTACTTAAATGTACTCGCAAAAATAAACTCTTGTTTCTGTTTTTTTTTTTTTTTTTTTTGGAGACGTTTGCTGAGGATTTAAATGTGCGCAGATAATAATGTTCAACCATTTAATCAGCGTTTACAAATACCTTAACTCAATTGCGTATTCGGAGCTCCTTTATCGCATTGAGTCTGAATGATGTTACCCAAAAAATTATATTCAGATTTTAGAACCTTGTCAATTTTAAGTTATATGTACATTGATTGAATACCCCTTAAATGGTAAGCTTATAATACTGTTTTTTACGCCATAGTTTGTAATATTTCGTAACCATCGTTACGAGGAAATGATAGTTTATATTCAGGGTAATTGCGGCTTTTTGCATTTCTCACAAACAAAAAACAAAAAAACTGAATTTTTAGAATTGTAAAGTTAAAAATGCCAAAATAAAACTATTTAAATAAACTTTCATAAAACTACCCAGCAGGCAAATGTAATGAATGGCAAGCGAGTACCTATCGCTTCCAGAATGCGTTATTGCTAACAATATGTCATGTGTCACTCACTATATACATATTTAAAGGTTGCATTAAAATTTATGATTGTGCCTAACGCAAAGCATTTTATTATCGATTTTGAATTGGTTTACAATTAAGTAACATACATACGTCATTAACTGATAATTGAAATTCTTAACTTCAGACATAGCTTTATTTTTAATCCAATCTTTAAATATAAAGTGAGATTTAAAGTTAAAGATTAGTTCAGATATCGGCCCTAAATGGAAAAAAAATAAAGTCCATGCGCCAGGGTTTGAACTCGCGACCAACAAGTTGTTAGTAGAACGCGCATCCACTCGGCTACAGCGGCTGTTGAGATAACGTGAAGAAAAGACATTCTTATGCCGGATTTCCACTACGCATTAAATGGCAAAAACAATAAATGACAAGTCGGGCATTGAAAAATAATCGTTTAATTACATTAAAAAAATAGTCATTAAGTTCATTTCCACATGGAATTTTTTTAAATGGCATACATTTTTTTAACATTTCAATGTCTAGTGGAAATTCGGCATTAGATTTGATGTAAAGTTTTTTGTTTTGCTTCTGGCTTCAAAACTACACATTACCCGCCCGTTTATATTGCGATGCACATTTTCGTACAATCGTAGTGATTAAAGTTTTCAGGGAAGAAAACGGTAATGCATGCCCCCATTTGCCTGCTGGGTGGATAAGAAATAATTGAGTTGCGTGCTTGGCTATGCACCCAAATGCATACTTGCACTTCTCCGCGATGTACGAGATAAATACACATTAGGGCCGGTAAATTTTTATGGGGATTTTTTTTCCACTACGCGCATAGCACAGAACAATTCTACGTCTAATTCTGAGAATATTTGCCGAAGAAACCATGGGTCTAAGATCAATTTATAGTTTGCCAAATTTGGAAAATAGGTTTCTTAGCATTTTCCTGTAGTGTCTAAAGAAGTGCTTAAATGTTTTATAAAAAATGGCATAAGGAGTTTTTTGGTATGAGGAATCCATATTTGCACTTATCTTTTTTCTTAAAACTTTAACTAGAGGGCACAACAGTGAACATTTTCACATTTTCTTTGATTTTAGACCCATGGTTTCTTTGGCTAATTTGCTTAGAATTACACGCAAAGTCATCTTATTCTATACGCGCATAGTCAACAAAAAATTGACCCGCCCTAATATATATATATATAATTGTATACATATGTATGTATGTATGTATGTATGTATGTATGCATGCATATTTGTTAGCAATTTTTTTTTTTGTAACGGTATAAATAGTTTGTTATTCCAGTATGCGGATAACTTATGAGAATGTTAATCAAGTTTAAGTCGTTGACACAAGAAAGAATCAACACAACTGCCTTAATTATACCCGAGCGCACTTGTGCACGAGGGTGTTATAGCTATGTTCACATAACGGTTGTTTGTAACAGGCAAAACGAATCGGCATAGATATAGACAAATGTATACATAAATGATCAGAATGAAAAGAGAAATCGATTAAGCGGTGACTGTCCGTCCGTCTGTGTACACGATAACTCGAGTAAAAATTTAGATATCTTAACGAAACTTGGTACGTGTACTTCTTTCGGGCGTTGGACAGATGGTATAGAAAATGAGCAAGGTCGGAAAATAACCACACCTACCTCCCATACAACTATAATTTAGAGAAATACGAAATTTTCGATAAATTAGTAAATATTGAAGCTAATTTATTCAAAATGAATGCTTGTAATAATTATTTAGCTAGAAATACGTTTATGATCAAATTATGGAAAATGGGCGTGGCTCCGGTAACTGTTCGACCAATATGTGCCAAACTCGGTATGATTATTGTGCTTGCCACATAAAAGCAAATCGTGGAAAATTATTGAAATCGGACAAAAATCACGGCCACTTTTCATATAACGGTGATATTCAGAAATGCTTGAAACTTCGATATTTCGAACTTGAGGACGCTTTTTTTTATTTTTAATATTTTTATTGAGCTTTGTACCACGATTGTTTATTAGGAAAAATTGAACGCTTGTTTACTCAAAATTGATACCAATAAAAATAACACCAATACCTTGAAAATACGTAAATTATTTGGAATTTCGGAAAATGGGCGTGCCCACATATGACTACATAAGTCTCATTATGTCTAACTGAACGTTCTGTCAAAGATGTTTGAAGTAGGGGTAAAAAAAAACTATATATTAAATTTGTATCTGTATGTATAAATGTGTAAGTTTACGTTGCATTTATGTATGAGTATGTAGCTAAATCCGTGATTTTTATAGTCTGAATCTCAAAATCGCAGAACCAAGAACGTTTCAAATTCGCCAAAGATTGCTTTGACACTTCCGCTATTGTAAAATGTGACAAGATACATATATTGTCTTCACTTAGTTTGTTTAGTTGAAAAACTGAGTCTAGCAGAACAATGGACACTGAACCTAGGAGATATTCTGTATTCCCTGACAACCGAAGATAAATAGGTTAGTTAATGCGCACAGTACCTGGGTAGATGAATATTTAACAATAAGAGGTTCGACAGTGGATAAACTTAAGTGTTTTAGTCTAAGTCTGGCCAACGGCGGTGTGTCAACCAAAATGCGGTCCGATGTTTCTTCATATTCAAAGTGAAGACGGCTCTCCGTAACCCCAGAATTTACTGCATTTTAAGTTTACCCACTCGGTTATTGCAAGTTTCGAAGAAATCCAACTGAGTTCACAAAATATTTCCGACCTCACATGCGCTGACGATGATTCTTCCAGTTCGTCGGTGGACTAGTTTTCTACAATCCCGCAGTCGCTGGGTACCCAGCAATGTCCTACTGTATATTTCGCTGCAAAAAAAATTGAGATTGGTGCCGATGTTCGATATAAAAATAGGTCCCACTTGGATTAGCATATCGAAAGCTGGCCTTTCAAGCTTCTGTTTTAAAAGAAAATTTAGCTCGTAAACTGTTTCCGCCGTCTGAATTGCTAAGCTGTTCTATTATAAACAAAATGTTAAAAAAGTTGCACGGAAGCTTGGCTTCATTAACAAAGGCAGCACTACCAATCTACTAAGAACAAATTGTACAGGTCAAGTCAATTCACCTTTTCGGTTCTCTTTTGACATAGTGTGCCTTTTGTAAAAGCGTGTACATAAGAATCTTCGTAGTAGACCCGCAGACTTTCACTTATTTCTTAAATAGTCTTCCGCAAGCTTTCCATTGTTTTATATAAAAAACGTTATATCAAACGTCAAAAGGACTGTGACAACGTCAACCTGGCAACGTTCGGCCTAAATATGTATGTCGGCAGTAGGGTTGCCAACATTTGCTAAGAAATTTATAGTACTTTTTCAAAAAAATCTATAAAAATATAGTACACTTCAAATACATGTAGTTTTTTTTTAAAAAAATTTAAAAATTGTTTTTTAAGTGTACACCTTTTTTCTTTATTATACATTTCCTCTATAAAAAAATATATATATTTCTTTAAAAGTATCATATGCTTTATCGCTATCAATATTTAAATTAATATAAATGAAAATTTAATTTTTTATTAGTGAGATATTCGCTTATTTCTCTCATCTCACCATTTCAAAGTCTTATTAGAAAAAAACTCTTTCTGTGAATGCCGAAGTTGCAGGAATAGAGAGTATAAGCGAAATAAATTTAAGTAAATTTGGTAAATCTTTCTAATTATTTTTAAAAATGTTGCCATATTTGATCTGTGGGCCAATTGTTTTAAGGTATATTTATTTTAATATTGATATTATTTCAGTATAAATGTAATGCATTTTAAAACATTTCTTTCTTACAAATTACTGAAATATATTTATATTTATAATTGACGAAATATAGTATTTTTGCATGCTATAATTTTTGTCCAACAGTACATAGTACGCAGACCCAAAAAATAGTACAATACTATATATTATAGTACGATTGGCAACCCTAGTGGGTAGGAACTTGATAAAAATATACTATTAATTTGTCAGAGACTGTCAGCGTTTTGCTTGAGGGAGTGTCAAAGGGCGCATTAAAAGCATTGTAGCGTTAATCTGATTAATGCATTATGGGTGGAAAAACAGCGGAAGCAAGTGATTTGAAAGATACAGAATATAAAACATTTGGTAAAAATATTACGTACATAA